TCTAGATTCACAGAAAAATTGAGCAGATGGTAGAGTTCCCACATTACCACTGCCTTCCTCCTAGTTTTTTCTATAATCTGACACGAGTGTGGTACATTTATTATAATTAGTGTACCAATATTGATATGTTATGATCAATTGAAGTCCATACTTTAATCAGATTTCCTTAGTTTTTCTTTAGTCTGTTTTTCTGTTCCAGAATCTCATCCTCCATAGCATACTAAATTTAGTTGTCATGTCTTGTTAGGCTCCTTTTGGATGTGATAGTCTCTCGGACTTTCTTTGCTTTTGATGACCATGACAGTTTTGCAGAGTGCTGGTCGGGTATGTTGTAGGGTGCCCCATCTGTTGGGATTTGTCCGATGCCTGGTTTCCTTTCAAGTACTTCTTATCGACTAGTCTGCTTGCTCATGCTTAGGTGCCTGGAATTATTTGCATCAAGACATTGTTGGGCTTAGTCTTTTGTCAAGGGTACAGGGTGGCCGCTGTACCCTTCTGGGAGTGGCTCAGGCATCTGGGGGTGGAGGCGGCTCTAGGCCATGGCTTTAACAGTTATGGTGTATTCCCTTTTTACTCACTTCCGGTGCTGCTTCAGTAGTGTTTCCACGGTTAGCTTGGGGGAGAAGAGACCTAGCATACAACCTTAGGGCGCAGGAGAAGCAGCTGGGTGTCATGATTTCAGGCAGTAATAAGGGAATTTGGTGTCCCGTTCCCAGTGGCCCCATCAAAGGCACTCCTTGGTGGCACGCAGAGAAGCCCCGTGTGTGCCTTTTATTTTTGTCCAGCACTGATAATTTAGGCAGCTTTGCAAGTATTGGTAGTTGCATCTGGGGAGCTATTCTGAGTATTTCTGTAGCTCAGGAAACTGTTGTTGGCTCTTATTGCTCATTATATATATGCTGCAGGGGTTTAGGAAGCTGAACGGTAGCAGCCCTTGGCCTCCCAGTGAGCACTGTGGACAGGCTCTGCAGATGGGGAGTGTGGCAGCAGGCCAGAAATGGGAATGGATGTCCCTTGCCCCTGACAGAACTCTGTAGTACTCTTGACTTGTGGCAGCCCTTAGCCTACACTCATCATCATTAAGCCACTCATTTTTCCTTTTACAGTTGGGCTTCAAGAAATGGAGAAATTGGATTTAGGGCTTGTATTTTGAGTCCAGCTAGTAACTTTTGCTGTCCCTTAGGTTATCCCTTGGAGTATGTGGTATGATAGGGGTGGAGTGATTAGAGATCTGTTAGCATGTGGAGAGAGTGGGTGACGTGGGCATACATAGACTTATCCTGGTGAAAGCACCGTAAGAAATATCACGCTTATAAATGTGGTCTGCAATGGTGCTGAGAGCAGGCTTTGAACAGTAATCCACTCTGCATTTTACTTATTGCACAGTATGTGACTATAACCACTATTTTATTACTTCTCTGCCTCTGCTCAGGAGCTGCTTTTTCTCTGGACATTAATGACACTATTTTTTTTTTAAAGATTTTATTTATTTATTTGACAGAGAGAGACACAGCAAGAGAGGGAACACAAGCAGGGGGAGTGGGAGAGGGAGAAGCAGGCTCCCCGCAGAGCAGGGATCCCGATGCGGGACTCGATCCCAAGACCCTGGGATCGTGACCTGAGCCGAAGGCAGTTGCTTAACCGACTAAGCCACCCAGGCACCCCCAGTAATGACACAATTTAAAGAGGAATAAAAAGTCATAAACCCCACTTACATACACACATTGACACACACACACACGCACTCACCATACACCACTTCCTCAGAAAGCTGAGCCTCGTTAGGTTGCCAGCATCAGAGTGTGCAGTTCCTGAAGAGGAGGTTTCTAATCAGGGAGATGCCGAGCAGAGAGTCTGCTGCTGAGGCCTGAAATTTACAGCTCTAAGAATCCATTTGCTGCCGCTGCTAACACATTCTAAGGGGTGACGAATGCCAGTAACTTGTCACAGGGGTATGCTCAGATCTTCGCATTCTATAATCAGGGGGTGAAGGTGTGAGCACTACGATGCTTTCCCTGGTTTTATTCTTCTCTGAGCGTGATGAGGGAGTGGAGAATGTCTGGGTATTTCTCATGTCTTGATTATGGGAATTTCTCTGTGTTTTTGGCACTTGATAATTGAATAATAGTTTTGGTGTGAGAGGAATGCATAGCTCTGTCCATCATTGAGATTTCGGAAATACTGGGAGGTGTGTACATTCGAGATGATGGTCTTGTGCTTTGAGGGAAGAGCAGTATTGATTTGCTGTAGTAGCTGTTTCGCTTGGTGTGGCTTTGTGGAATTTTTCTTCTCCTTGGTTTGAAGATAGGATAGCAGAATAGCCTGTATCATGGATACTGCACTCCACGAAAGTTTTGTCATCCATTTTATGATACTTCTCTTTTTACCCAAATGTGGAATTTTGAAGGATAGAGAAATTATTAGCTCTGGTCTTTCTCTTTTGTTCAGTTGTCCAAACCACTGTTGGTATCTTTAGGGAGTTGGGAGGAAGATTCCATTGTGATGGGCATTTTTGCTTGGCATTAATGTGTCTAGATGGTAATGGGAACAAGATGTACTCTTTTTCTTTCAGTTGGTGAATCTGTAGTTTTGGTTATATCTTCTGGACTGTTTTTAAGTTCTGTGTGATTATTCTTTGCTTTGGAGGGTCCAGTAGACTTTTCTTACCACCCATACCCAGGTAACCATCCCTTGTTGTCCTCATGTGACCACAGATCATGCTTTTGATTGCCCTTGGACTTCACTAATTTTTTCTGGCCAGGTGAGTTTTGGGTTCTGGCTGTCTGGGTTTTAGTGTTTAGCTTTTGCGATTCTCAGATCTGTCAAAAAGGTTAAAGCAGAATGGCAGTGGCTATTTGAGACTGGTCTTTTGCCATGTTGAGGTTTGCAGGTTAATCTTACATATTTGAAAATTAAAAATACCCGCTCTCCTCATCTACACCGTTCTTTCTCAGACCTTTCTTTTTTATTTATTTGTTTATTTATTTATTTATTTTTAAAGACTTACTTTATTTATTTGACAGAGAGAGAGAGAGACAGCGAGAGAGGGAACACAAGCAGGGGGAGTGAGAGAAGGAGAAGCAGGCTTCCCGCGGGGCAGGGAGCCTGATGCGGGGCTCGATCCCAGGACCCTGGGATCATGACCTGAGCCGAAGGCAGATGCTTGACGACTGAGTCACCCAGGTGCCCCTCTCAGACCTTTCATTACTCTTCTGGTCACTGGCCTGTTTTTCCCTACACTTGATTCCCATTACTTGTGGTGGTAAAACCCAGGGATGTCTTCACATCTGCCAGGCATATAGTCAGCCTTCCATGGATTACAGCTTGATTCCAACTGTCCTCTTTCTTTTTCCATTCACTCTGTGTGATGGCACTTTTTTCCTGCTATTTCCTGTCATGTATAATTTTTCACTTGCTTTTGGTTTTTGCCCTTCCTTCATATTATCTCTTCAATCAGTCTTTACTCTTCTTGGTGTGTGGTTGGCTGATTCTTTGGAAAAGGTAGAGAATAGCCATTTTTGGAAGAGTCTGCAAGTAAATGGGTGTATTCTGTTTTAAAAGATGTGAAGCCTTCCAGAGAATAGTTAGTGAGGGCTCTTTTAGGATATTTATCAGTGTGATATCCACCATAGCAAAGGAGAGTCTAGCTCCTTTTGTTTCTCACATGAAAGAGAAGGGAAATTTTGCGAGTCTGCCCTCACTGTGGCAACTGACCCTGTAGTTTGTTCAGCTGCCTGTTGGCTCCTGATGGGGCCTGATTGAAGCCTGGAAGAGTTAGTTTTGATTCTGCAGACAAAGTGGATGGTGACAGTGATTTGTAGTCAATAGCTACCTTGTAGAAAAGTATTACTTGTTTAAAAAAAAGAAAAAACAAAACAACACCAAAAACCAAAAACCCCAAACAGCCTTGTAACAACAGGCTCTGAATATAATCGAATGAATTGTAGACTGCTAGCTGAATTATAGGTTCTAGTTATAACCCTGATGTGGTCCTAGGCTGGTTTCAGTGCAATTTCATTCTGTACACATTGGTGGAATGTTCTGATAACCTCCAGAGAGGAATATTTGTGCTTTTGCCCTTTGAATAGATACCCTTGTAGGTTACCCAAGAGTGGAAGTTAATCTTCTTCAGCTGAGAGTGGGTCCCGATGCTACCGGTATGGGGGTTTAAAACAAAGTTGCCCAGGGCGCCTGGGTGGCTCAGTCGGTTAAGCGACTGCCTTCGGCTCAGGTCATGATCCTGGAGTCCCGGGATCGAGTCCCGCATCGGGCTCCCTGCTCAGCAGGGCATCTGCTTCTCCCTCTGCCCTCTTCCCTCTCGTGCTCTCTGTCTCTTATTCTCTCTCTCTCAAATAAATAAAAAAAAAAAACAACAAAAAAAAAACCAAAGTTGCCCATAGTAGTGCTCTGAAAAGTTGGCTTTCCGAGTAGTTGAAGTAGTATCTTAGCAATTTAATGTTTCTGCCCTGAGATTAACAGGTGAGCCTCTCCTTTCCCACACTGTGATGACAATTCTTTTTGCCTTTCACTTGTCTTTGATTTTTCTGCTCTCTTTTGGAGCATCCTGTTTTGGTTCTTATCTAGTGCTGATATCTTCTAATCCAGCCCTTGCCTCTTTTCCTAGATTCACATTGAGATACAGATTTGATATTAGTTTAGAACCTGTTTCAAGGAATATCTTGAATAACACAGAGACTAGATTTCCAGTAAGCTTTGTAGTTAACTGCAAGTTTTGGTCAGGGCAAAAGATAAAAAAGATAATTTTTGTGAATGATATAGATTCTGCCTCATTGAGAAATCATAATAAGGTCTTTGGGGACTGATAATTATAGCATTGTTTTCTCCAACATCATTGCACTGTGAAGGATGATATTGGATCTACCCCCAAATGGCTATTGACTTTTCTTCCTATGACTGTGGTGGGCCTTGCTCCTTACCATGTGTGCTGTGAGATCTAGCCCATTGGAGCAGGTTTAAGCGTTTTTGCCTTTTGCCCACAGGTGATGCAGGTGCTGAATGCAGATGCCATTGTCGTGAAACTGAACTCTGGTGACTACAAGACCATCCACCTGTCCAGTATCCGACCACCGAGGCTGGAAGGGGAGAACACGCAGGTGAGAATAGAGAGGCAGTGGAGCCTCTTTTCAAAAACCAAAGGGAAGATGCCAGAGAATACTTAAACATGGTACATATGTGTGAGAATGCTAAAAGACAGTATTTTAAATCTCCAGAGTATTGTTTCCTAATGTCTGCATCCTGGCTATCGTTGGGCAGGTGTCAGTTTCTCCTGAACCACACTCACTGCTCTGCTTTGTTTTAGGCGGGCGTTGCTGGCATTCCTCCCTAAGGGGTTTGAGAGGAGTTAGGGTGGGGATGGGTGGGCAGTGGTTAAGAGCAGTGGTTAAGTTTTATTTATTAACAAGATTTTACTTCTCTGAGAGTAAGGAGAGGAGAAGTATCTGTATCTCACGTGCATGATTATAAGGCCTGGTCGTTTTATAAGGCCAGTTCCATATGTTTTGTTCAAGGAAGAAATGAATCTTGGTATACATATACTCTGGGGCCACTTGTTTAATCTGTTGCAAGTGGTAACTGTAATTATTAGTTACCCCCGTTTTTGAGCTAGTTGTTGGATCTTTTGGCAGCAAAGGTGCTTGCCTAACCAGTATGTATGATTGGGGTATGTCATTTTTGAGAAATGCTTAGGATGAAAACTATGGGAGTTGGTAGTCTGCAGGCAGTTTTGTTTTACATTTTCTGGGCCTTTTCTTTCCATTGTTATGAGAGGTTGGAGATAGGGATTGAAGTTTTTCTTGACTTTGTTTGTTTGGTTCTATCTTGTTTTTACAAAGACCTCTTTCCAACTCTTATTTTTTTCCCTCAGATCATTACAGTGTGGAACTGGTTATAGAACTGGGTCCACTGTGAGAGCCGGTGTCACACGCAGGTGTTTGGCTAGTTTTCAGAAATTAAGCACAGCGTGGTTGACATTAGTGCTCTGTGCTTTAATTTATCCCTTTTGTAGTTCTAAAGACAGGAAATTTGCTTTTCTGATGTTTTGCACGTACACGTCTTGGTGCATTTACAAGTTGAAATTCATGCCGTTTCCATTTGCATGAGAGTTTACAGACAGCCCATAAGAGTAAAGTAAAAATATCATGATTGTCTTTTGAATCAGATCGTGCATAAGAAACATATACAGGATGGATTCTTTGAATGTCTGGCCAATCAGTTCATTCTCTACGCCCCCTCCCCCAGGCAGTTTAATGCGGCAAATGGTATTGTGGTAAGGTTGAGAATTTAAATGTATGAAAGCCTAGAAATGCCAAAATAAGGTTCTCTCAGTAACTGTAGCTGTGCCTCATTGCACAGAGTAAATAGACATCTCCAATTTTATCAGTATTGGGAGTACTCCACGATTCGCATCTGTGCCATGCAGTTGGAATTAAGGTTCCCACAGCAACCACAACTTTGAAATTCTTGAACGTTAATTTTTGTGCCTGCATCACTGGCCAAAGCATTATGTTAATGTAGACTATGTAGCTGAATTTCAAGCAGTTTTTAGGGAGGGTGGGGGTGCTGTCGCTTAGGTAGGGTGAATAGCAGGTTTTCAGGAGGAGTAGGAACTACTGCTGAGAATTTTTAGTTTTTCAGGACCCTTTGGAACTCCTCAAGGGGTGATGGATGGATTTTTCCCCTAGCCTAGTAGATAATGGGAAATTGTTGGAATATATTCCCTAGTTTAGGCAGGATCCTGTTTATGGAATTCCTTGTTCTTTACCAAGGTAAGTCATCTATTTTTTTATTTTATTTTTAACTTCTGTTCACTTCTGAGATCTTACTCCATTTTAAGAAAGTTTGAAGTAAGGCTCAGCTGCGAGAGTCTATAATATATGGCTTAGGTGAAGGGAGTCATGATTTTTCTTATTTCTTAAATTCCTTTGAAAGATTTTAATGAGGCAGTCACATAAGAACTAAGTTAACATAATGTACTTTGAGCACAATGGTGGAGGGTGCCGTGAAGAACCCAGTTACAGTGGGCACTCAGGGAAGTCTCCCTAGGAGCAACTAGCATACCTCTTGAGTGTTCACTGATGAGAAGTTGGCAGATGGAAGAAAGGGCACTCCTAGACCAGCAATGCTCCATAGGTCTATAATGCAAGCCACAAATATGAGCTATATTTGTTATTGAAAATTGCCTAGTAGTTATATTAAAAACATCAATTTTAATACATTATATTTTACCTAATATATCCCAAACAGTATCATTTCAACATTTTTTAAAAAAGATTTATTTTAGAGAGTGAGTGTGCCCACGTGTGCACCAGCATAGGCAGGGAGAGGGGGAGAGGGAGAGAATCTCAAGCTAACTCCCCACTGAGCACGGAGCCTGAAGAGGGCTCGATCTCACAACCCTGAGATCACGATCTAAACCAAAATCAAGAATTAGACGTCAACCGCCTGAGCCACCCAGGTGCCCCTCATTTCAGCATTTAATGAATGTAAAAAGTAAACGAGGTGTTTTACTTAATTTGATTTTTACTAAGTCTTTGAAATCTGGTGTATGTTTTATACTTGGAACACATTTCAGTTTGTTCTAGTGTATTTCTTGAGCTCAACAGCCTCCTGTTGGTGGTGACTTCTGTAATGGACAGGATAGGTTTAGAAATTAACATGAATGGGTTTGGGTTTGTCATCATTGATAAGTATTTACTGGGTATCTACTTTGCACCAGATACTATGCTGGGGATGCAGCAGGGAATAAACTTTCATGGAATCATCCTCATGGAACTTTAGAACCTAGTAGGGGAAATACATGAGTAATTTCATTTATTTGAAGTGTTATGAAAGAAAAGTTTAGAGTTTATAAGAATGTATAATCTGGGAAGGCTTCTCGGAGGAAGTGACATGTAAAGCCTCAGGGGGTGACTAGGACTGAGCTAGGTAAAATGTGGGGAGAAGACAGTTTCTGACTGAGACAGCAGTAATGACGAGTTGGGTGAATTTGGGAAGAGGGAATGGGTGGCCACTGTGGATAGTGCGTTAGTGGTATGATGTAGGCAGGGCCAGATCACGCATGTCCTGTGAATATCTCAGGATACTTTTAAAGAGAGAGACTCTTGGGGTATTTTGTATGACTGGAATAGAGGGTAGTTAATGCTAGGGAGTAGTAAGAAATGGTCTTGGGAGTTAGAACAGGGGCCACATGCTGAAAATGTGTGCCATCCTTTTAGATTTTTGTGTGAGGAATTTTAAACTAGGGAATGGCATGTTTGGATTTGAGTACTCTTGCGTTGGTGGCTTGCATTTACAAAACATGAAAGTAATTTGCATTTATAAGAGAAGATCATGCTAGATGAAAACTCATCTGCAGGAAGGAGTTCTCAGCTTTGTTTTGCTAAGCCCCAGTTGACCAAGGGCCTGGGGGTGAATGGAGTACTGAAGGAGAACATGGGATGTTGCTTTAGCAGTCTCTATACAGGAGGATTCAGAGTGTTTGCCTTTCTACTTAAAGAATTCCCCAGAACTCTGCTCTCTGCTTACCTTAAAGTTATCAGAGATCCACAATATGGGTGTAGGAATAAAAATCACCTGGGAATCCCAGTGAGGCCGTAACTATATGTATGTAATGACTGGGAAAGCAAGCTTCTCCTTGGAGTCTTTGGTTGGTATATAGTAAAGAATATTAAAAACCATTCTTGTAACTACAGGGGGAGTCCAGTCAAGTACCCAAGGCATAGATGTTGGGGCTGGGGCCTCTGTTAGCTCATGTGGCTCCCTTGTGCAAATTAGAGAGGGAATCCCCTTCTTCCAGGCAGCCTCTTGTCAGGGCACGTGGCTTGGCAAGCAGAATGGTGGCTGCATTTCAGCTCCCATTCAGCCTCTGTCCCCTTGGCCAGTGCCCTTGTGCACAAGAATATGTGGCTGTCGTAGTTAGAACAGGGCTAATTACTCTCCGGTGAAAATGTTGGGTGTATTTCAGGAATTGGAATGGTCTGGTAGCTACAGAAATGTGGGGTGCTTGAGGATTGTTTGGAGATGACGGATGGACTGTGGAGGGCCTTGGGTGAGACACAGAGATTTTCTTCTGCTTGAGATCATTGACTTCGAAACAGGGAAACCGCTAATCTGACAGTTTCTGGTGTTGAAGCAGAGTGGGAGAAGGTTGCAGGTTCAGGAACTGGAGGAGTAGGGGAAGAGGGAAGGGAAAGTCTTTGCCTGAGCTTCCTCAAGGGCAGGCAGATGGCAGGTTTGACTCCTGCTGCGGCCTAGGCCTCCCTACAAGCTCTCAGATGACGACCCCATGGGGTTTGCCCTTCAAGTAAGGAAGGGGAGGTTCCTCTAATGTTTATCTTCCCCAAACCCTAAAAACTCTAATGACCTGTCATCAACTTATGTAGATCTTCTGAGACATTTCTACATTGTGGGGATAGTTGGGCAAATTGGATTTTCCTTTTTTGAACACAGAGACAAGTTCTTTTCTCTTAAATTATACATGAAGGCAAGGTTGTTTTGCCCAAGGCTAACTGTATACTTCCACTCCTCTTTTTTGGTTACTTTGTAATGCAGCCAGAGGAAGGGCTCTGGATAAAACAGCATGATCAAAGGAACTGTTTTCATCCTAGGCAGCTGCTTTCCAATAATATCTAGGAATTCATGGGTAGCCATTACTCTCAGATTTTGGTTAGAGCTGGATTTGTTGCTGGGAAGTGTGACAGAGTTAAAAGCAAAGATGTGTAATACTTTCCTCAAAGATTACAGTTGGATGTCTGATGCTGTTGATTATGTTTCTGTGGTATCATGCTTCTGGATTATTCAGGGTGAATCCAGTGGCAATTCCTTGGAGATCTTAATTCCTTCAGGCTGAGTGCCATTTTGGACACTGATGTGTGATGGTCCTGAGGACCTGAAACCCTGAGGATAAAGGTATACTGTAGTTTGTTTGAGGCAGTTATTTGCCACAAAGAAACAAGTGCTAAGTGTTGGAGAAAGGCTGTGGGTTTTCTGAGCTACTGCCTTGGAGGAGACAACACATTGTGCAATCTCAGAACTTCCCAGAGAGCATTTGGCTTTGATTTGAGACTGGAAAACCTAGTGCTTCTAGTCTTTAGGG